CCAGAGGCCTGCCCCTACTATGAGGCCCTGGACAGCCCTGAACCGCATGCTGGGGGGGCAGATGGTCCGTGTCCCCCTGGTCATCATCAATCCTGGGACAGAAGGCCCTGCACCTGACACAGGGGAACAGGAGGAGGAGGAGGACGACAGCAGCCAGGAGCCTGCAGAGAGCCTGCCCTGCACCCAGGACCCCCGAGCCATCCCAGAGAGCCCATCAGCAGCCTCATCTGAGGCCGGGGAGGCCTCCACATGTGAGTGACATCACGGTCCCCTTATGCGGGGTGCAGGGGAGGGGGAGCCCAGAGATCTTACCCTCCCTCCAGATGCCCCCTCTACACTGCCCTCCCTCCAGATGCCCCCTCTACACAGAGGCAGGGCACATCTCCCCTCCCCTCCCAACACCGCACTATAGGCAGCACAGGAGCTGGGGTGCAGTCCTGGGCCAGCTCACACTGCTGGGGATAGCAGGACGTGATGGTGCGGACACCTGCCATCCTCGCCTTGCAGAGGGGGGCTGGGTTTCACCCACTGTGTCCCCAAGGAGAAATGACCACTTCTCTTGTTTCACCACAGCTGCAGCACCTGCGAGTGCAGGACGCACCACCCCGCCTGGACCATCTACCTGAACCCGGGCCAGCAGGCGCCCCTGCAGCCTGGAGGAGTTCCAGAGGCAGCAGCTGAGGTTGCAGGGATGGCAGGTCCACAGCCAGGAACAGTGGGTGCAAGAGGACCTGCAGCTGCGGCAGGAGAACTTGAGGGAGCTCCGGGAGCAGGGCCGTGCCCTCCTTGAGCACCTGCAGGCCCTGGCGGACCAATTGCTGCCTCCTGCTGCTCCAACCCCTGCAGCCGCCCCAGCTATCGCTCCCCCTCCCACTCCTGCTCCCCCTCCCGCTCCTTCCTCCCCTCCCACCCCCTGCACAGATGCGGCGGGGCACACGGGCGTTCGGATGCTGCTCCTTCCCTGGCTCCATGGGGGTCTGGAAGAGGACCTGGGGGTTGGGCTGCTGCAGAAGCTGCCAGGCAGTCTCCAGCACTTGCTGCCAGGCTTGCAGCAAGACATCCAGAATGAGCACCAGAGTTCCCAGAGGCAGCTCTGGCTCCATGATGCTGAGTGGTGTGGTGTCCTGAGTCAGGGCAATCAAAGCAAGCAGAGAGAAAAATGGTTTGCAAGCAAGCAGGGAAACCTGAGAACCGGCTGTCCAGGGGGGTCCCTTTAAGCACAAGCCTCATATAGCCTCCGG